AGAGAATTTAAAATGAATCTTGATGTGAATGGAATGGGAGAGGGAGCGGGAGACGGGAGGGGTGTGAGTGGGAGGGAAATTATGGGGGGGAAGCCATTGTAATCCATTAACTGTACTTTGAAAACTTATATTTACTAAATAAAAAATAAAAAAGACAAGCCAGTTGTTTTATAATATATACAAATACTTATATACACAAGGATACCTCAAATTGTTCATAGAAAAAAAGGAGTTAAAAGGTCACTTTATTTTGGTATAAAAAACATTTTGAGTGCTGCCATTGTGGTGCAATGAGTTTAGCTGCCTCTTGGAACACATGCATCCCATGTCAGGGTACCTGCTTTGAGTCTCTGCTGCTATGTATTTCTTATACAGTTACTTGCTAATGTGCCTGGGAAGCATCTGATGATGGCTCAAGTACCTGAGTTCCTGCCACCCACATGGGAGACCTGAATGGAGTTCCTGGCTTTGGCCTACCTGAGCCCTGGCTGTTGGTGCCTTTGGGGAGTGAACAAATAGATGGAAGATCTGTCTGTCACTTTCTCTACCTCTCTCTGTTTCTCTCTCTGTCATTCAAATAAATATTTGAAAGAAACAGAAATATTCTATCCATGGGTTCATTTATCCATGGGTTCATTCATCTACCAAACCCAACTGCTGGGAATGGGCGAGACAAAGCCAGGAGCCTAGAAAGCCCCTGGGTCCCCCAGTCAGTGGCACAGACTAAGTACTTGGGACATTACCTGCTGCCTCTCAGGTATGTCAGCAGGAAACTGGATCAGAAGCATGAGTAACTGGGATTCAAACCCAGGTACCCCAACGTGGGATGTGCCACCTCAACTCATGACTCAACCTGCTATACCATGATTTCTTCAAATAAATCGTTAAAGACAAACATGAAGTTTTGACAGTGTACATTTTCTATGAATTCTTTGAAGACTCTTACTATCACCTGATAGCTATAGTTCGTTTAGTGATGAAATGTCTAAAACATAGAATAAGAATGGTGACACACCAAATAAATACAAGGGAACTTCATAATCACATGGAAATTGTGGATTCTGAAAAAGTTATGTGAGAATTTCAAAAAAGTTTACACCAAAATAACATCTTAATTCTTTTCTGTAAACTTTTACAAATGTTTTTGTCTATGCTGCAGTTGGATACTAAGGAAATATAAAGTAAAAGACACTGCTACAACTACAATGGTACTGGGCACTTAGTAGGTAAGAAGCCCAGTGCACACCACTTTAAAACATATGATCACCTGTTTTATAATGATACAACTACCAATATTGCTTTTATTTTCTTAAAAGAAAAAAATGATTTTGCACATCTAAGCAGCTTACCAAAATTTGTACTGTTAATAGGGGACTCACATGATAAACAAACTCAGGCCTTCAGACTCTAGAATGTAAATTCATATTGTAAAATTATCTAATAAAATTTCATGAATTACATTAAATGGGACTTAAATGGTTAACAGTATTATTACACAGAGGTGCTCAAAAAGGCCTTCTAGAATGACAGTTTATAAGAGTATTTCTTTAAAGTGGAAGTCAGACAAGATCCGGCACATTCAGGGTGGTATGGCCGAAGACAAAAACAAGACTAGTGTCTGCAAATACTAACTGATAGAAAGAAAAAGGGAGAAAACAATCCAACATGGGAAGCGAGATACACAGCAGACCCATAGAATGGCAGATGTCCTAAACAGCACTCTGGCCTCAGAATCAGCCCTGAGGCATTCGGATCTGGCTGAAGAGCCCATGAGAGTATTTTAGGCATGGAAAGCCAAGACACTCTGGCAAAAAAAAAAAAAAAAAAAAAAAAAAAAACCTAGATGAAAGATGAAAGATCTGAAAGGAGGAGGTACCTCTCTCTGAAGGGAGGAGAACTTCCACTTTGACTATGACCTTGTCTAAATAAGATCGAAGTCAGAGAACTCAAGACCTTCCATAGCCTTGGCAACTCATGACTAGAGCCTAGGGAGATTACTGATGCCATAAACAAGAGTGTCGATTTGTTAAGTCAACAACAGGAGTCACTGTGTACTTATCCTCATGTGTGATCTCTGTCCTTAATGTGTTGCCCAATATGAATTAATGCTATAACTAGTACTCAAACAGTATTTTACACTTTATATTCTGTGTGCGTGTAAACTGATGAAATCTTTACTTAATATATACTGAATTTATATTCTGTTTATAAAGAGAATTGAAAATGAATCTTGATGTGAATGGAATGAGAGAGTGAGTGGGAGATGGGAGGGTTGCGGGTGGGAGGGAAGTTATGGGGGGGAAATAGCCACTGTAATCCATAAACTGTACTTTGGAAAATTATATTTACTAAATAAAAGTTTAAAAAATAAACAATACACACTTAAAAAATAAAGTGGAAGTCAGTTTCTAAAACTCTTGCATCAGAATGCTAAAAGCTCCATTAGACCATTCAGAATTCAAACAATGCAATAAAAAGTTGGAGATAATATAGATGGAAAACACCTACATGAAGAAAATACATAGACAAGTGTTTTTTGCTGAGAATATATAACTGAAGTTCAACATACTATGGTAAGCAATTTTGAGCATAACTTAGACATAAGATAAATACCACATAATACTACACAGATGATTCATGAGTAAATTAATAGATTGACAGATAGGAAAGAAATGAGGTAGCTTTTTTGCTAGCAAAAATATTGGAAATGAACATGCACACACAACTCACAATTTCAAATAATAAATTCAAACATAGAATGTTACAGTTCATAAATTTCATAAATAGTGAGAAACAGATAGCAGTTGTTATAGTTATTCACAATTCTGGAGTGCAAAAAAACAGAGACAACTTGCATCAGAGTCCACAGGGATGCAGGATCAGGTCATCTGATGCCAAGAGAAACCTAACAGCAGTGATGGCATAGAAAGGTGGAAAAGTCATTATTTCACTAAGAGACACCTCTGTTCCTTTCAGGCCTGGACAGCACCATCCGGCCTCTATGATCTTCCAGAGGAAACCCACCAAGCTGTATCTACAAATATGCTGATCATCCCTTCTTCTGCTCTTTTCTGTTTCTGACAACTTAAGAGCTCATTGGCACACTGAGGGTGAGAGATTTCTTGTCACCTGTCTAGGTATGTTGTGCTGTCTCCAGTTCTGACAGTCTGAAATACAAAACACATCCATAGCTAGGAAGACTTGGAAATCTCAATAAGAAAAGGCATCCCACTCTCTCCCTCTTAATTTGATTTTTTTAAGAGAAAGAATTTGGCTTGCTAGATGCTGTGGCTTATGATGTTAAGAGCTATGAGGCAAAGGTTAGAAAAATGAGACCTAATATGGAAGTAAGTAATTGCAAAAGCAAACTAAAGCTAGAGTCAGGTCCCATACTGCACAATGTGACTCCCTGGCCCATTTCATTGTATTTTGCCCTTTGCATTTAAGTTCCTACCCACTGATATCAGTATACTCTGCAGTCAATCAGGACATAGCAATTATCCTTTATGAGACTCACATTCAGTTATTCAAGTCTTAATGCTCTGGACACCTTTAAGAGATCCTTTCATTACAGGAACACAATGGCAAGAAAGAGAATAAAGCACTTCATCTAAAACATGTGCTAAAGGTTTCAACTTCAGAGATTTGCAAACTGTGGCTTAAATAATACTTACTACAGGTGACATCTCACAGGTTTCTGAACTACCATGTCCACCTAGGGGAAGGGGTCCTTTTTATCTAGTGCTTCCGTTATTCATGTCATTCAGTTAAAGCCCTTTTCATTAAATCAATGCCTTCCCCCATGAAATTTGGCACAGGCAATCCCTCCTTTGTTATCTAGACCTGAAGCCTCCAAATCTATTAATCACTTTAATTTTCTAACCAGGATAGAGTACAGAATGAGTGGTTTGAGAGATTCTGATTCACAGCGATTATCTAGTGTGGACTGGGGAAACTTTGTTCCTTTTTTTTTTTTCCCAAACATTATTCCACTGTGCTATAGAATATGCTATAGGGAACAACCCTCGGCGGGCTGGAAATGAATGAGGTGACCTTAATGGAGCTCTTTCCCATCTAATGTTTATGACTTTTTAATTCAGTTATCCTTCAGGCACTGGAAGAGCTCAGCGTCATTAGTCCCATTCTAACTACCAATGTTACCGCACACAAGCCTCCCAAGGTATGGTTCACATTTTCTGTCTTCCTTGAACTTGTGCTTCCTGTCACGGATGCCACTGTTGATGTAGCATTTCAACCCGGCCAAAAGTCACTTTTTGGTGTTCCTCCAGATTGTTATTGAGAAATTTGATATACTGTCTGTTTCTATGACATATGTGAAGACATTTGTCCTCTGTTTTATGACAGGTACATTTCTAGCATCCTTCACTGCATATTTATCTAGGTTAATATTCAGAGATAGAAACCAAGTAGTTCATATGTATAATTTATACATAATCTTCTTCTCCTGTTATTTGAAATTCAAGTTTACTGTCTTGTGAATGTTTATCATTTTGAATAAGCAGAGCTCTAGGCAAAACATACTCTGATGCTATTCTTCCCTGAATCAACAGTGGAGATTTGCCAGACAAGTGGCTTTGGATAGTATGGGAAAGATTTATAGGAGCAAGGAAGGGACACATATACTCATACAATATTTCTCTGAGAGTGGAGAACAGGTGGCAAGGTGATATTCAATAATATCTAGGACTTTATGTGTAGACTTTACAAACTGTACATGTCCAGCTGTGGGCTCTGCAGAGTTTAAAAAAGACATTATTCTATCCATAGCAAGGATTTCATGTATAATTCAGCCTCAGGGTGAGCGCTAAATTATTGGTAAATTTAAATAGGATTCATTTTTTTACTAAACCTTATAAAAGCTCAAAAAAAATTCAATCTAAGGCCAATTTGAACTACTCGAGGATGATGTGTCTTTCAGTGAAAGGCAATAGGCAATTGGTGAGCTTCTTTCCAATCCTTCATCTTACTAATGTACTGACCCAATACAAGATGTGACCACCGAACCAAGAAGAAACGTGTGTTGGGGTTCCATTGCCAAGTGGTAGTCTGGAACTTCAAGATTCTGTCGTTTTTCTGCTTCCATAACTGTTTTCCATAATCATAATTTTCTTTCTCTGTTGCAGAAGGACCATACTTACATAGTATAAGCAACATCATTATAGTTTGATCTGAAAATATAGAGACAGATGTTGATATTGGCAGAGGCAGAGATGGTATGAAGTAGATCTACTGGTTTTGAATTACTGTTCTCCCTCTTAAAAACTATAGCTGTAATTAATCTTGATAACTTTCAGTTTCTCCATACTATATTGGGAATTGTATTAGAGTCAGCCCCATAGGTTTATACATAGTAATAAATAGGACCATGAAAATGGAATTACTAGAAAAAAGTATACAATAATTTTCTTTTATTATATAATACATAGTTGAAGAGTTCAACAGTTGAACTTTTTCTATTTTTCTAGAAACTTAAATTCAAATACATGACTCACTGCTCATCTCAACTCCCATTATAAACACACAAATATAACATAACCCCAAATCCAGTGAGTACAGCATTCCAACCAAGTTACATGCATAGAGTCCACCCTTACTCTATTACAGAATGTCAGTCCTTAGTTGTCTGTCTTGCTCTCCTTTCCTCTCTTGTTTGTTGCCTGGTAATTCCTATTATTCTCTATGATTCACCTGAGATAAAAATCACCATTTTGGAACTTTTGTATCATTCCTTTTCCCTGCACAGGATGTGTCAGAAGTCATTTATCTGGTCTTAATATTTTAAAAGGATATTTTCATTAGAAAATTCAATTCCCATTATCTGTCATGTGTATATCCAAGGGGTCTATCAACTAAGCACAGACTCACTTAACTATTAGGACAGTTATTTCCAGGGGCTTTCTTTTTAAGCTTTTTATTTGAAAGATAGAGTTACAGAGAGAGGGAGAGACAGAGAGAGAGGTCTTCCTTCCACTGGTTCATCCCCCAAATGGCCTCCACAGCAGGAGCTGCGCCTATCCGAAGCCAGGATCCAGGTGTTTCCTCCCGGTCTCCCATGCAGGTGCAGGGGCCCAAGCACTTGGGCCATCCTCCACTGCACTCATGGGCCACAGCAGAGAGCTGGACTGGAAGAGGAGCAACCAGGACTAGAACCCGGCACCCATATGGGATGCTGGTGCCACAGGTGGAGGATTAACCAAGTAAGCCACGGCGCTGGGCCCTCCAGGGGCTTTCATCAATCTTTTTAGAGTGAATTGTCAAAGAATGAATGAAACAGATAATAATCTTTGTTTATGTCCATAATAGTCAAAAACTTTCATACTCTGAGACCAAGTAATGCCTAGAATTTGATGCAATAAACAGAAATCTAAAGGCTTTTCACATGTTTTGCAGCTTGCTTTGTTTTTATTTAATTGAAAGGCAGAGAGAGAGAGAGAAAGAGAGAGAGAGATTGAATGAATGAATGAATGAATATGAATGACCTTCCATCTGCTAGTTCATTCCCTGAATGCTTTCAACAGCCAGGGCTGGGCCTGAATAAGCCAGGAACCCTGAACTCAATCTGGGTTTCTTGCATGGGTAGTAGGGACCAAGTACTTGAGCTGTCACCTGCCTCCTTGGGTGCACATTGGCTGGGAGCTGGAACTGGAATAGGCCTCAGACCCAGGCATTCTATTAAGGGAGGTGGTGACTCAAGTGGCATTTTAACTGCTATGCCAAATGCCTATCCCCACTTCTTAACAAGGATTTGAGCAGGTAAATAAGAGATTGTTGTATATGTTTTGAGACAACCCTACAAGTTTTATTTTCTATATCACAGCATTAAATTTCAATGAAAGATAAATATTTAAGACTCTTCCTAAAGGTGAATACCAGTACATTATAAACAATATGACCTTGAAAACAAAGCCTAAATAAATTATAAATATCAGAATTAAAACCATTTTACTATATTCAAACCATGGGGATGATATAGAGAAAATTCATAAGTCTTTGTAAAGTAAAACAGATGTTCTGGCTGAGACCATATATAGAAATTGACACAAATTAAAATTGAAAAAGATGTAGTATCATGAATAATAGTGACTGATAATCATTGGAAACATATCTGGAGATATTTAAGAATATTCAAAACAAAATTGATTAGGTAAGTTTAAGGCCACAAATAAAACAAGGTGAAAATCAAATGAGTGAAAGGTAAATAAGAAAGTAGGGAGTAGAAAAAACCTAATAACTTTTCAAAAGGTAAGGAGTAAAAAGGTGAATATCCATAAAGAAACCATAGTGTCAAAAATGAGAAATAAAAACTCCGAATGTGATGACTATAGAAATCAAGAGATTTTAAAATATATGGATCTTTTAAGAGGCTACAATGTATAATGAATTGAAGCTCTGAATTTTTTCTTTTTTTTTTTCAACTTTTATTTAATGAATGTAAATTTATGAAGTACAACTTTTGGATTATAGCAGCTTCCCCCCCATAACCTTCCTCCCACCTACAACCATCCCATTTCCCACTCCCTCTCCCATCCCATTCTTCATCAAGATGTTCAATTATCTTTATATGCAAAAGATCAACTTAGTATATACGAAGTAAAGATTTCAACAGTTTGCACCGACACAAATACACAAAGTATAAAATACTGTTTGAGTACTAGTTATACCATTAATTCACATAGTACAACACATTAAGGAGAGAGATTGTACATGAGGAGTAAGTGCACAGTGACTCTGTTGTTGATTTAACAATTGACACTCTTGTTTATGGCATCAGTAATCACCCAAGGGTCTTCTAATGAGCTGCCAAGGCTATGGAAGCCTCTTGATTTCACAGACTCATCATATTTAGACAAGGCCATAGTCAAAGTGGTAGTTCTCTCCTCCCTTCAGAGAAAGGTACCTCCTTCTTTGATGGCCTGTTCTTTCTACTGGGATCTCGCTCGCAAATATCTTTAATTTAGCTCATTTTTTTTTCCACAGTGTCTTGGCTTTCCATGCCTGAGAAACTCTAATGGGCTTTTTAGCCAGATGTGAATGCCTTAAGGGCTGATTCTGAGGCCAGAGTGCTGTTTAGGACATCTGCCATTCTATGAGTCTGCTGTGTATCCTGCTTCCCATGTTGGATTGTTCTCTCCTTTTTAATTCTAACAGTCAGTATTAGCAGACACTAGTATTGTTTATGTGATCCCTTTGACTCTTAATCCTCTCATTATGATAAATTATGAACTGAAACTGATCACTGGGACTAGTGAGATGGCATTGGTACATGCCACCTTGATGGGATTGAATTGGAATCCCCTGGAACTTTTCTAGCTCTACCATTAGGGGTAAGTCCGAGTGAGCATGTAACAAACTGTACATCTCCTCCCTCTCTTATACCTACTCTTATATTTAACGGGGATCACTTCTCAGTTAATTTTAAATGCCTAAGAATAATTGTGTGTTAATTAAAGAGTTCAATGAATGGTATTAAGTAGAACAAAAAAATACTAAAAGGAATAGTTAAGTTGTTCCTCTGTATACAATATGGATCCAGATAATAAATCATGCTTCAGAGAAATAAACAACAAAAATGAATTCCTGATTCATACACTAATTTCTAGGCATAAAGTTTCATTGTAAAAACCATAATAATTAGGATAGGAAAAAATTTTTTCCTAATTTTTACTTATTTTATTTGAAAGGCAGAGAGACAGAGACAGCTATTCCATCCACTGTTTCCTCCCTGAATTTACAAAATTTCTGGTACTGGGCCAGAGCAAAACCAAGAGCCGGGAGCTCAGTCCTGGTCTCCCACATGGATGTCTGGGACCCAACTACTTGAACAAACATCTGCTGCCTACTTGGGGTACAAAGTTGCAAGAAACTGGAATCTGGAACGGGAGCAGGGACTTGAACCCAGATTCTCTGATAGGGATATAGGCTTCTCAAGTGACCACTAAACAGAAGGCCTGCCCTGAATACAGAAGGGTTATACACAGCACTTCTCACAGTGAAAATTGCATATATCATGTCTGAATTACCTCAGATCCTAAAGAGGGCTTTAAATGATGTAACTTTAACATTTGGTCACAAATTAAGTGTATGAGACTGATGACAGTTTTGTTTTCAACTTAATGGGCTGTTTATTAATGACCATTATCCTCCTTAGGGGATTCGAGCATTGTAGATCTTGACAAGTTGACTTAATAGACCTAAGATCACAGTGTTTCTTTTAAATTTTATGTCTGTTTATTCCAGAAGGCCCTAATGAGGACACACATTCTGCAGTAACATTTATTTCACCTCTATTTCTTTGTGTTAAAAGATATTTCTAAACTGAACTGGATGAACTGTAATGGTTACACCCCCAACATCCTGCTCTCTGCACATACCTTCTCTTGCAGTGCATATTTGAATATAGTAAACAATTTGGTTTAAATCTGTCCTGCAAAAGTTTATGCTGGGTACTTGATCAACAAATTCATATTATTTGTGTATACAGGTGGAAATTCTGGAAAATAATTAGGATAAAGTGAGGTCATCAGAATATCCCACAATGGCATTAACAGCTTTCCAAAATGAGAAAAGAAGACCCAAGAGCACACTTATGTGTCTTGCTATGTGTCATCTCATTTCAGGTCACGATACTACTAGAAGACCCTGACCAGATGCCAGAGAAATGCTAGAGCCATGCTCTTGGACATTTCAGTCTCCAGAACCATGAGCCAAATCTCTTTGCCTGGTAAATTATCCAGTCTTTTTTTTTATTGTTGTTAAGCCAACAGAAAAATATACTAAGACAAAATGTACTAAGACTAAGCACATTTTTTTGAAAATGAATTATATGTTTAATTGTGGAAGGTTGTAAATAAACACTAACAATACTTTGTATAAAAGTGTGGGGGGGGGGCCATACACAGTACAACAGATGTGAATAATAAGGCCCCTGTGTTTGCATTCTCCCCTGTCTCCTGTGACTGAGGTTGACTTCAGTAACAGGTAAGCCTTTCTGGTAGATGTTGAGGGGGGAGCTCTGAATTCTTCTCAATACCCAGGTTTAGGCAGCCATTACCAACCGCTTAGAGCTAACATATGAGTAAAAACTGATGAGACATTTTTAATTAGAATACAAAGTGCCGGTAGACAACTAAATTATAGATCAAGAGGTCACAGCTTTGTGGGTATAAGATC